TGTGTGTGTGTGTGTGTGTGTGTGTGTGTGTGTGTGTGTGTGTGTGTGTGTGTGTGTGTGTGTGTGTGTGTGTTAGCCATTGAAACACAGTTTAATCTTTATTGAAAAGATCCTTCTCATCCATTAAACCCCACTAACACACCCACAGCCCACACTATAGCACTGTCAGTTTCACCCCTCCTTAGCACCAGCTGCACCTCTCATCATGCTTTAATCATGAGAGTGGCTGTTCTGGGCAACAATATACTGTGTGTGTGTGTGTGTGTGTGTGTGTGTGTGTGTGTGTGTGTGTGTGTGTGTGTGTGTGTGTGTGTGTGTGTTCACACACTGATATTGATCACTGTGTGCAAATAATCAAAATAATAAAGCAATAAAACAATAAATAATATAGTAATAAATATTAATAATAATAATCAGTGTGCTAAATGGGTGTCAAGTAAATGTGAAGTAAATGACAGCATCTCTCTTTTATCAGTTTGATTAGTTGTTCTGAGAAAACAGAACCGGCGCTGTTGCTGCTTCTCATCACATTACATGATAAGTGCACACTTCATTTGTCTGATGGCCATCTGCCACACTGGTAACACTTTAGAAAAAGAACATAAAGCACAGTAACTAACAAGGGACAAGTATAGAAGTAATCAATACTCACTGCTACTAAAAACTACAAAAAAAGGGTTGTCTTGGTTAAATTACTTTTGAGGAGGGTTCTTTGTTCTCTAAACAAGCCAGCAATCCACGGATGTAATTTAATTTGCTTATCAACCATTCAGTGAATTGTTCTTGATGCACTTGGAAGTGTTGATCATGGGTAATCAGGCTTATCACGAACCAGTAAGGAAAACAAGTTGACCCGCCTGGTGCCGGCTGGTTCAAGCCAGTTTCTCAACAGTCACAGTCACGAGTCATTTCATCTGTTAAGAAAACTAGCTACTCATGGTAACTAGCTGAAGCAAACCCTTATTTCCCTAACAAGTTTTATTTGTTTTTTGTTTTTGTTTTTTAGTCTAGTTAAAGTTTCTTTTCAAAATAAGTGTTTGAGGGTACTTAAAGAAAGATGTTTCTGTTATCACGAAACAGTACACTTGTATGGGGAAAGTGATAATGGTAGCATGTAATGCTCAATTTGCTGCCAACTATAAATGATACATACAGTAAGCTTGAACAGAGCTTTCTTAGAGCACTGACTGCCTGCCAAACAGCTGACTAGTCTTTTAAGTCAAGCCGGTTAAAATTAATTCGTGATTGTAATAAATTAGTTTGAATGAACATGTCGCAACTTGTTTTCCTTACAGCAGAATTTCTGTGAGTACTTTTACTGTCAGCTAATCAAATGTACCAGAACAAGTAGGATGAGCTAATCAGGCATTGAAAGCGAGCAGAAGGTTTATGACTCTGAAACGTCATTTACATATAAAAGGGTGTGAGGAGAAAAAGGGTGACGTGCTGAAGGCGTTCTGGCTCCTTTGGGGTCAGATAAGAAAAACTACACAGTCATTGTTTGGATTTTCACAATTTTGTGTCCCAGTTGGATTTAATTAAATGTATAAAAGGTCTTATTTAGGTCTCACCTTAATTTAAGAGTTGCAAAAAAGGAGATCGTCGGATTAGATGTAACCACTCTCATGTTGTTGTTTTTATGACCACGGGGATTGTTGTAAACACATCCACTGGGACTAATTTGCAGAGCTCATAGGGTGGGTGTGGCTATTCCGTATTAATGTTTTTTCTAGAATACAAGTCCTGCTTCAAAAAATGCCTTTTGTAAATGAAATAATGACGGTCAAGTTTCAGAGTTATTAATTGTTCCTTCTGAATGTGAACAGTTTACCTGTTATTCAGCTATGAAGAAGACTCGCCCACTAAAGAAACAAGAGTAGACAGGACTGGCTTCATACAAGCTAAACAAACGTCAATTCAAGGAGAAGGTTGTTTTACTCAAAGACCACAGTGGATCTGACCGTTTGTGGGACTCTGTGAAAGCGTCTGATAAGACTGGAGCCAATAAATACTCACAAATACTTGGGCATGTCACGCATGTGCCAGATGCTGCAAAGGGGCAAACAAAAGTGCCTTTGTCTGACAATGTAAAGAAATACTGAGAACATGTCGGATGATGTGCTGTAGTATGGTGCACTGCGCTTTAAAGGCTTGTGTGTATGAGTGGGGGTGTATGTGAGGCATTCATTCTTAGATAAACTGATGCTGCGTGGTTTGTGAGTGTGTGTGTACTTTGTGAGTACATTGATTTGAGAGCAGTGACGGTAAGCGCGTCGAGGGGGAAGTTTCTTCTGTTTGTCCGTCACAGTCTGCACGTTCTCTCTAGGCACCATTAGATCCTGGTCATATCCTCTGTGGTTCACATGACATCAGAGCTGTTTTGGGCCCTGCGCCCTCCGCTAAAGCCACAAGGATACATATGCACATACCTGAGACTGATTATTCTTTCCTACAGTAATCTGTCATTATCATCAACAACAACTATCATTAACCAAAAAACAAAACAAAGCTACTTTACAGTGCAGCTCTTTCCTCTAAGCCGTCTAGTAGCTGTGAGTCCTGATTTGTTTTCCCTAAAACTAGTTTGGTCCCATGCCTGGACAGATTTAACTGATATGTTGATGAAAATGCATGAGCTGCCAAGTGCGAGTCCTTTCAACTAAATTATTTACAGTATGGCCCAAGGTTGACGGAACAGCTCTGATGTCGGATAAGCAAAGTGGAATTTTTGGATAGTCTCAAATCTAAAAATAGGAAAAAGAGGGAGAGGCTGATGGGTAAAAATGTGGACTAAAAAAAAGCAGGAAGTGGATTACATGAAGTTCTTTTGCTTCATCTGATTTTTTGTCTGCAGAGAGAGAGAGAGATGCAGGAAGGGGGGGCAAAAAAATTCACTCAGTCAGTCTACGTGTGCTGGCTCACGATTTGTGCTTATTCTTGTTCTTGCTTCACGCCCCTCCTCCCTCGCTCTCTGTTCCTCTGTCTCTCTGTGTGTCTCCAGCACACCCCTCCCTTCTGCTCTTGCTGCTGTTAAACAAACAAGTCCAGAGCTGGGCGGGTGGGGAATATATGCATGTCAGGCCAGAGAAAAAGCAGGGAAATCTACCGTGGAGAGAAGAGAGAGGGGGAAAAGAAGAGCGGGAGGGGTGAGGAGAATCCTGTGGATGAAGGAGAAGGCGGAGCGAAGCCGCTCCTGCTCTCTAGCAGTCGGCTAAAGACAGATGGGAGGATGTTTTGACCAACTAGGGGAGCCAATCGCAGCCAGGGAGCAGCCCCCTACATTAGGGCAGGGCTAGTCTGAGGGAGTGTGTGACTCAACTTAAAGAGTGTGTTCACAGGCAGCCTGTTGTTGTTGAGCGCTCGTTTCTTTTCTCTCATGGTTGTGCAGACGTTGAAGACGATGAAGATCCAGGAGTCGCCGGTCACTTGTGACGCGGGTAGGGTCGGCGGAGAGGTGCGCGGCCCGGACTCAGACTGCGAGAAGACAAGCTGTGAGGACGTGCCCCGGTTGGATCTGACAGCACTGACTGAGGACAACAACTGGGGAGGTGAGCCTGGAGACCACCTGGCTGTTGCTTAGATATTTCTTTCCTTTGCTTTTAGCCCATTTACAGTTTGTCTGGACAAAAGGACACACATGTCCAGACAGCAGGATCCTCCACCCCAGGTTGGGTGTTTGGGTCGCAGCTGCACACCGTCTGCTGCCTCATCTGCTCCTCCTCCTGAAGCATGCTGCTTCTGCTTTTCCTGCAGAATTTAATTGTTAAAGATCCTCTAGGTTCCCTAGGCGAACTATTTTTGCACCAGAGACGTATTTGTATGCTTGGTTAGAAGGATTGCAGCACTGCCTTCATCTCCCATGAGGAAAATATGAAAGTGCAGCAAATACTCGATCTGTGGTTTTATTTAAAGAGTAAACAGTGAGGTTCTAGCAGAATCTATCACCTATGTGGAACGCCTGTGTGCAGGCTTAGCAACAGATGACCACTGCTGTTGTTTTCACTCACAAATCAATCATTAAAGGGTCGGCATGGATGGCGATAACAGCGTACCAATCAGCTGGCTGCACAAACTTAGGTTAGGTTTGGAGAGTTTATTGATCATGGCTGAACTGTTAAAGTTCATGCTCCATTTAGATGTTGACGTCTCTGCACGTGCCTGAGATGTCAGCTGTACGCGGGATCCTAATTTATTGATCCTGGCTTATCAAGTGGCATTACTGTTAAGAGAATTTGCAAAAAGAGCCTTCCTTCAGCCGTCAGACCTCTCTCGAGCTTGTTATTAATGTGTTTGTTTGTGCCGTGACTGCGCTGTGCGCACTTTCGATTGTGTTGTCAGAGTATTGCAAGGGTGGAGGTTTCTGTGTTGATTGGTGAAAGCCAAGGCTTTTGCTGAACTGTACTCTGGAATGATGGCCAACGTGTTCATTCGCACACTGGAAGGACATGTTTCTGCATGTTGTGTTGACATCTTTCCGCTGCGGCGATTGGCTTTGACTCTCACTGCCTCCGCCACCGCTGCTGCTTCCTGTTTGAAGCAAGAATCAAAACTGTTCCATGCAAGCAGCCTGTCAGTTTCAGCAGCCGCGTGTTTGGAGCATTAGTGGGCAATTGCGTGTTTGGTGGAGCTCTCTAGCGGCCGGACCTCATAGAGGGAAAACACCAGCAAGCTTTAGATTTGTTGTTGTCTCATAGTGAAGTGTTGTGTCTGAGCTATTATGCTGTTTAGGTTGTTTGAAGTCATGGTTTGAGCGATTTTGCCCAGCCTGGTAGACGGTGTGTTTACATGCTTGTAGTTAAAATGTAATTTGTGTTCTAGTGAGGCACACCGCAGGGAGTTACAGTTCTTTATTCAGTCCACGTGGCGGTTTTACTCATTTGTATACCATCCTTTGCATCTTGCCAATTTCTTCCTCTTCCTTAAACTCCCCCCACCTCCCCTGTGTTCTGTACATTGTGTCCTGAATACATAACTAAGCTTGTGGAAACAGGGCGCCTGCATGATTGGCTGTGACAGGCTGCTTCACATGAGAACAAGCAGCGCTGGTCATGGTGCGTGCAAGTATTGTGCAAAGCTGAACTGTATTTCCGTGTAGTTGGCAAGATTATTCATCAGCACAGAGTGCCAGTGAGGAATTGCTGCATACTGTACAGAAGGCATACTGCGGGCCAAATGGCCATGTGGGTGAATGAGGGTTGCAGGCAGGAGTTGGAGACCTTTGTCCCAGTAAAGTTCTAGCATGACCTGATATTTGGTGTCCCCCGCCTGTGTGCCAGCGGTGGTGGAAACAACAGTGGCCGATTTTTTTTCAGACAGCGGGAGACAGTTATGGATCTCACATGTCCCACGAGTTCATTAAAGTTTATGTGTCTGTGTGTTAGTTTAATTTCCAGTAACTAATTCAGCAGGAAGGATGCCTGCTAGTTCTTTGGCTTATTTCTTACTTCTCTTTCTTTGTCTTTCTTCCTTCATCTTGTCCTCTTCTCCTTCTCCATCCCCCCATTTCCCTCTTTTGTTCCTCTAGATTCTCCGTTTTGTAACTCCCCTTTCCTTGATTTCAAAAGCATTTTCTATCCAAGTTGTTGCGATGGTAAGTCTCCCACTAACATCACTGTCAGTGCTGACTGGCCTTTTCTGCGAGTGAGATGCCAGAGTGAAAGAAAGGAAAGTCTGTCTGTCTGACTTTTACCGCTGCATGGCAACATGCTTGAGTGATCGGGAACATTGTGGCAAAGGGTGGCACGCCCGCGCACACGCACGCACACACGACCTTTAGTGAAATGGCACACCGGCGTATTTTTTTTGTTTCATTAGTCCAGTTAATCCTCAGCCATCAGCGAGCAGTTGATTTAAAGGATTAATTTCAAATGCCGTGAAGCCTTACTGGTGGGCTACACTGCACTAAGCTTGATAATAGGCCTCAAAGGAAGACCTTCAGTCTGACTGAGGGTTTGTTTGCTGTGAGAGAGCTCTAACAAGCGAGAGCCCTGCAACTCGATGAACTGCACGTACCTGGAAGTGAAGGAGGACCCCCCGGGACTCCCGAGCTGGAATTTGAGCTAAATCATTTCTCATACACCTTAACCCACCCCAGCTAAGAAAAATATGCATGTGCGGTGTTGGACAGGGCGTGCATATTTTCCTGGTTGCATACTGACACCTTGAATGTTTACACTGACAGTTGGTTTCCTTCAGCGCTTGTTTTTACTCCCTTTTATCTGTTTTCTCGGTGTAACGTCTCCCCCGCATGTTTTTCATCACCCGACACCTGATTTTATGGGTGTCTCCTGTTCCATGAAATCTACATCAGAGTTCCTGCTGACTTTTATGTTTTGAGACATTTCGTAGAGAGCTCCTAGTTTAACTTTTAAACAATCAGATCATCCTCGGTCTGCTCTGTCGCTCTCTCTAACGCACACGTGCTCGGACAGATGCGCCGTTCCCCTGTCGACGTGCCGAGTGGAAACTAAAACACAAGCTCATCACTGTACCTCTCATCAGGGGTCACGCCCTGACATTATCCCACAGAGTGCCGGGCTTTATTAATAGCCCGGCGATTGTCAGGGGTATCTGCACGGCTATTTTCACCAAGCATAATTATTGCCAGAGTGGAGACTCTGTAACCAAGGGATGAATAAAGAGAGAGAGAGGCAGGGTGGGTGTGTCTTACCCACAGTTTCAGAGCAACATCTGTGACTGCTGAGCCCCAGAGGAAATTCTTTTTATTAATTTTTTTCCCACAGAAGCACATCCAGAACCTTCCACAGAGCCAGAGAGGCTCCGCGATGATGTTAGCAGGGAGAGAAGTCGCTGTCTGGCGTCTTCAGGATGAGAACCGGGGCTGATTTTAGAAAACGAGCCGTGCATGCTGTTTGGCTTTCCCAGGACACTTTCACATTTTGACCTCCTATATTTGCTCTGACTTCACAAAATATACATATATAACCCAACAGGAAAATATGTGAAATGTGACATTCGGTAGCGTGCTAGCCACCAAAGAGCAGCTGAATGTGTTCTGATAACAGTGCCCATGAACTCACATCGGATGTTTTAGTGCTTTTATATATTATCTTGCACAACATCACACCTGTAAAGTCTTTTTTTGGCAGTATTTTTCTCCAGTTAAATGTCTTCTTGATTTTTAAAGTAGAGATAAGTTGATGGCGGTGCCTGTTTTGGTTGGCAGAGCTAACGGATTTAAGAAGGCTTTTCTCAATGCGGCTGGTTTTCCAGCATCATATTGTCCCAACGTTAAGGACTTTCCATGCACGAATGTGCCGATGTGCTGACTAATCTGTTGTTCTTTCACATTCTCTTATGTCTTGCGTGTGCAGAATTATGAAAGTGCAATGAAAATCTTGACATTTTTGTTTTTGTGTCACTCAGAACCAACCCCGGCGTACTCGCTGCAGAGGGAGAGCATGGACCGCGAGGAGGCCAGGCTGTCCCCTCACTGTGGGGGGCGTCTGATCCGCCAGCTCCTGGAGGAGTCCAGCGACCCGATGGTCTCCCCTCGGTTTTACGCCTACGGACACTCCCAGCAGTACCTGGATGACACGGAAGTGCCTCCATCGCCACCTAACGCTCACTCGTTCATCAGGTAAGCTGACGTGTGCTTTTGCAGAGCTGGAAGGAAGGAACTGGGAGCTGTAACAGCATCATTTATCTCAACAGTCGCAGGCGGAGTTCATCACTTGGCTCCTGTGATGATGAAAGAGAGGAGCTGACCTCCGCCCAGCTCACAAAGAGGATTCATGTACTGAAGAAAAAGATCCACAGGTTTGAGGAGAAGTATGAAGAGGAGCGAAAATACAGGGTAGGTAGTAACGACCGGTTCATTCGCCATTGTTAATAAAGCCCCGCGCCTTAAAGTCAGACTGGAATGATGTTTCTGTGAAACATAAACAAGAATATTGACTGTCAGAGGTGCATCATTACACCAAGTAGGGCTCTGCCTTGTTGTTTAGCAAGGCAGAGCCCTACTTCAGATTTACACTGTTATCCTCATGTGAACAGTAATTGTAGGTATTTTATTTTGAAAGAGCAGCTGATCATCTGGGTTTTTTTTCTTCTTTTCCTCCACGCAGCCCTCCCACAGTGACAAAGCTGCAAACCCAGAAGTGCTGCGGTGGATGAATGAACTGGCTAGGCTTCGCAAAGAGCTAAAAGGTAACACACAGGCGCACACATTCTGACAGTTAATTTGATCTAGTTTTAGTCATGATTCAGGCATCTAACTTGCTCCTGATTGGATCACTTCCGAACTCGTCCCGCCTTTCTACACAACTTACTGAAAAGCTCTGGTTCCTGTCTTCTTCACCAGAACACAAGCTGATGAAGTCTGAGGAGGACCTGACGCCTCAGCCCCGCCAGCGCAGCAACACGCTGCCCAAAAGCTTCGGCTCGCAGCTGGAGAAGAAACCTCAGCAGGAGAAGGCGTCGAAGCCGCCGGTGGAAAGCACCCTGGAAGGAATTCAGAAGAAGCTGCAGGAGAAGAGGGACGAGGTGAACCGCCCCGAGGACATCAAGGTAAATCCGCGGCTATGTCGCACGCTCACACAGACGATGGAATAAAACATTAAAAGCCAAAAGACTGTATATGTTTAAAGCATAAATTTTAAAGCAGACTGCACACTCTGAATTTATTATCACACAGAGACAAATAAGTTTTGCTGCGAGCAACACGGACTGAACCCTTGTCACTTTTAAAAGGCGAGTGACTCACTTCCTGTCTCCTGCTAACAGGATATGACACGGGAGCAGATCGCCGCAGAGAAAGTCGCCCTGCAGAAAGCTCTTCTCTACTACGAGAGTATCCACGGCCGACCGGTAAGCCTCCCTCCATGTGTTTGTTTTATTTTAGACATTTTAAATGCAAAAATTTGCCCAGTTCTGCAAATAAAGCTGAACCCATATCAGTTTGTCTGGACCAAATCCAGGTGCCGTAATTTTTATTCCTGTCAGTACAGTTACATATCACGCCCTGCAGAGATCTTATAGTGAAGAAAAAGGGTTTTGCTGTAATTTTGTTTTATGTTAGCAAAGTAGCTAGTTAGCGTGCAGGTAGAGAGGATGACAGAAATTTGCTAAAACTGTGCTAACAGTGTATCTTTGTTCTCCCCACCTGGAGCAGATGACGAAGAGCGAGAGGCAAATCATGAAGCCGGTGTACGACAGATATCGCCTGGTGAAGCAGATCCTGTGTAGAGCCTCCACCATTCCTGTCATAGTAAGTATCACATCCCAGCCTCCCTTTAGCTGCCGGGTTTAAAGCCACACTCTCAAAACATGCACAGACACTTAATCCCAGCTCGTGCCGGCTTTAGCACCTGCTGCTGGGAACGGACAGCAGCCATGAAGCAGCTTTCAGTGCACTCGTAAAGCAAGGTCAGAGGTTACAGGCTGAGGTCACAGGAAGTGACAGCAGAGTGTTGAAGAGGCTCAGGAAGTGAAAAACAACACAGCCAAGTTAAATAAACGGAAAATAAACACAGCAAGTTCTTAAAATGTATTTTTACATATTTATATTTCAGAAATGTAGGAAAATAAATCTGCTTATGGACTAAGTGTAAAGCTCTCAGTAAAGTTATTTACTGAACATCTTTATGATGTAAGACATGATCTGCATTATGTGCATTATATAATGCACTGCATCTAATCCGCACCACGCAGGCTGAGCCTGCTGCCATATTGTTCCTGACATGGAGACGCAGAGGAGCAGACAGAGGAGCTCAAACAAAAGCCGTTAAATGTGCTTAAACCTGACAGAAAAGTGTGAAGTACTGTAAAAGAAAGAAAAAAGGTCAGAGTTAGCGTCTCAGCGTGGTTAACTCCTCCTTCTCGACCGTCACCACAGGGCTCTCCCTCCAGCAAGCGCAGAGGTCCCCTCCTACAGCCCATTATCGAGGGTGAAACCGCACTCTTCTTCGATGATATCAAGGTGAAGAGCCATTGCTGCTGCTTAATAATCAGTGAACCGGCTCCCTCTTCCTCACCTGCTAAACTCCCACCCCTCCTCCCCCTTTATATTTACTACCATTTGCCCTCTAATGAGCCTGATTGCTGCCTGTTGATTGGGCAACTGTAGAAGTGTTGAATCAGTAGTTGCTGATCTATGAATCACTCTGTGATTGATGTAATGATGTAAGTGGATATAAAATGGGTTAAAGCTTGTTGTGATTTAAGTGCCTAAAACAAGGCTGGAATACTGGTTTATTTTTCCTAAACAGCAAATATGTGCATACAGTATATTAAATGTATCATTGTTATCATTATTTTTCCAGCACTGTTTGCAGGCACTCTGTGGACACCTTTTTTTTTTTTTTTAATTTTCTGTATTAATTGAACAGTTTTAGTTGAATAAAGGTGGCCTGATTAACTCCATTCATAAAAACAAATGACGACCATCGCGGTGATTTCTAACCTCTGTCCACTAACACTGCACGATCCTCACGCCCTGCAGTATTTGAGCCCAGGAGGCCGCCTGCTACAGCAGCGCTCACCGCACGATGAGACCCTCTGCCCCCTCCCTTGCAGCCCGTTGAGTCTAAAGCCTCCCTCACTCTCTTTGTAGGAGGAAGAGGACGGCTCGGAGGATGACGGAGACGCCAAGACCCAGTTCACCGTGACCGTGCGACCCGACATCGGCGTGTTCAGCTTCCTGGAGCACGCGGATGAGGAAGTGGATGGTTTCATTTCACCCGTGGACGAACTTTCCCCGTCCAAGAACACGATGGACACGAGGCTGTCCAACCTGCACTCAGCTACTATGTAAGTACTCGCAAAACGCTCGTTTTACTGTCAGTTTGTGACAGATTTGGGTCTGTTTGAGAGGATTAATCCTGATAACTCAGCAAAAATTGCAGATCTATCACTGTCTACATACAAAGAAATCCAACCAGAGCACAAATTTAGAAATTCCTCTAAACAGAGTTGCCCAGTAACCTTGCCTTTATATAGGAATATAACCAGGATACAACCATCTGGCAACGAATTAAATCAAGTCCCCTGTTGCAAAGAAACATTACACTCATGAGCGCACACCCATTCAAATTGCCGTAATAGCAAAGTGTTTATCAGCCAGCGGTTGTTTACAAACTTTCGCCATTGTGTTGCAGAGCAGTTGCAGTCAGTCCAAGACAGACTTAATTTGTTTGGAGACAAGTTGCATCCCACCTGTGTGACCTGTGTAATACAAAAAAAACAAAAACCGAGCCAAAGTTGTTGATTTTTGGGGGTTTTTTTTTGTAAATGCTGGAAGTCTGTGTATATTTTAATGTGAGACATTTAAAAAAGCATTTCTCCTCACCCCACAGGCAGGAACTTGTAGAGCAGCTCCAAGAGACGAGAGAGGAGAAGAAGAGGATTCGCAAGAACTTGAAAGAGTTTGAGGACCAGTTTTTTAGACAAAACGGAAGGTAAGAAAAAAAGAGTTTGTCAATGTCAAATATTTGGAACTGCATAATGAGAAACCTCGACACGAAGGTTTTTTTCTCGCAGCGTCGTAACGTTTGCCGCCTTGTTCCTGCAGGAACGTGCAGAAGGAGGACCGCTCCCCACTGGCTGTGGAGTACAACGAATACAAGCACGTCAAAGCCAAACTGCGGCTGCTCGAAGTGCTCATCAGCAAAAGAGACTCAACTAAATTCATCTGAATAAAGCAAAGACTCAATAAGAGGACTGGTGCTGTGTCTCCAGTGTCACAGTCAACACATCTCACCTTGCTAGAAACAGTCATGTTTTCCTCGCTGTTGGATGCTGTTGACGCGCTCCGTCGAGCTCGAGGGTTTCCCTCCGTCAAACTGCTGCGCCTGGAAAAACGTTGTCGTCACCTCGAGGAGGGGACGTCACTCCGGACGAAGCAACATACGCACAAACTAAACTGAATCACACTTGTATTGCTGATAATTTATTTTGAATGTTTGTCTCATGCACAGCCGTAGAAGTCTTAAAAACCCCCAAAAAGAACCCAAAACACTTGATAATTCGGTCATTAGCTATAAAATTGTCGCTGCTTTTTAAGGATCGCGTGTATTTTTCTAAAGGAGATGTTACTCGATCATGCTGACAGTACCGAAGTTTCACTTTCCACAGCATTAAATCCTCTTCTGTAAAAGTTTTATCGTTTGAAAGAAGTGGTTTCCTCTTTGACTGGGGCCCAAAGACAGCAGCTCAGAGCGCACACAGTGAGCCAAAATCTTTCATCTCCTGGAAATCACCCAGTTTCAAGATGACCACTGACACTTGCTGCGTTTTTGTACGCCTTAACCTGCTTTCCCCTCATTTACTTGATGTTAAATAAGCTATCGTCCCCTTTAAATCACTGCTGTGTTTGCTCACACCGATTAACACTGACAAGGCCAGTTCTGAGGCGAGCGCGGGCGTGGTCGACGAAGCCTCGTCCTCTGGTCCTCGCTGTAGTTTGTTTGTTTGTAAATATGGATTATCGTATATGTTTACATTTCTGTGAGCGAGTACTTTATCCCTTTTTTTTTTCTCTCCAATTTTCTGGATGGTAATCAGTGTGAATTTGTTTTCACTGAATGTAAACACTGGCCGGGCTTAATGAACTGAGTGTGTACATTTTAGTACATAAATTGTATTTTGTATATAATGTGAATGAAATCATATTTTTACTGAAGGTTTTTTGGGCTCTGTGTTTTTTCTTTGTGAAGTTGCGAATGTTCACTCATCCAGTCGAAGGACTTTACAGACAGATCTGAGATCAGTCGGTTTATTTATATAGCAGCAAATCACAACATCAGCTGCCTCAAGGCGCTTTATACAGGAAGGTAAGGACCTCCCTAGAGCACTGTGCGATGGCGGGAAGGAAAGTAATAAAAGGAAATAAAACAGGGATTAAAAGCGTGTATTAAAAAAAACTACAGCACCAAATTAAATAAATAAAATTGTTTAAATATGAATGTACATATAAAAGATTATATGTGGTATAATAAAATTTGTCTTTCACCCATCAAGGTCTTCAGTTTAACTTAATGATTTATTGGTATAAAATTGACAAAAAGCTTTATACCATGTAAGGATTTAAAATATGTCATATGTGACCTTTGACCTCTCCTTCAAGGTCAGTCAGTTGATCTCAAACGTTGATCTCAAACATCTCGGCTGATGAAGCATGTTCACTGAACGTTTGGAAGAATGGGAGTGAACTGCTTTCAAAAACTTTTTTTTTTTCTTGTAACACCTAAAATCTCACCTCTGACATATGCCCCTCATAAAATATCAATTAAAAATAAACTATACTGAAACAAGAACCCTAACCTTAACAGCAGGTGCTCAGATAAACACTAAAAAACAACTCTATGAATCAGAGGCATCACATCTGGTCCATCTGGTCATAGGTTCATGAATTCAAGCAATTTAATGAGGAAGCTCAAATGCAATAACAGGCCACACAGAAGTCTTGCTTTTATACCGTATTTTATTGAAAACCTTGGCTGGAACAGAGAGCTTTGAGTAAATTTCAGTCAAATAATGATTTAAAAAAAAAAAAAAAACAACTTATTCTCTAGCACATTTAAAGGTGCAAAAAAGTCAAGGGCTTCACAAACCTTTGCATAGGACTAAACTCTGCAGGAGCCTTAATCAGACAAATATTGATTGAATATGCGTGTGTGTGTGTGTGTGTGTGTGTGTGTGTGTGTGTGTGTGTGTGTGTGTGTACACATGCAGTATAGAACTAAGCAATAAGATGAACTGCCAGCATTTGAGACCTTTATATGTTTGGCCCAGAGCTGTGAGTACAGAAGTGGGCTGCTTCAGGTTGTTATTGCTGAGAGGACGTGTTAGTCAGAACACATCGAGTCATTTTACTGCCCAAAGTCACATTAACACCACTGTCGTGTATGAAATGTATATAAAATATATATTATATATATGCGAGACGATTCCACGCACGTCACGCTAATACACAACCTAATTAAATGTTATCTTGTACTGCGAGGTGTCACTGCAGGAATATTTATACATCATCAGGGCGACTTTTGGAATAATATGATGGGTACAGTTTATCATCAAATGGTTATTATATGAAGACTTTTTACTAAGTCATCTGCCCACACTCTTAAAATATTCATCTCCACTTGGAGACCAGACAAATAACAATTATTAACTCTAATGTTTGTATATTTAGGTTTATGTGACATTTTGGGACATGTTTTTATTTGCTTCTTAGCAGATCGGTTCAAATGTCATTACAGAGGAATCGGTTTGCTTGGCCTAGCAAAAACACGGCTAGTTTGGCTCCGTCACACGGTGAATAAATCCAACTGAGATCCGCTCTGATGATCAAAAATGACCAAAGTTTGTTTAACCCTCTGAGGTCTAAGTCATCATTTTATAGAAGCCATGAGAGTGTTTGTTAGGGGGGGAAAAGAAGCGTGAATAAGGCTGGGAGAAAAGTTTCATAAACACAAAAATGACAGTTTTTGTCATCCACACTTACAGGGGATTTATATTTGTAAATCTGCAACCCTGCAGCCTACACCGTAACTACACACCACATGGACACAGTCTGCGATGGCTGTGATTGGACAGTTTGGGATTGTCGTGTCCTCCTGAATATTTAAATCTACTGTGTCTACTGAAAGAGACTATATGGAATTGAAGAGAGAAACAGGACGAACTCCTGGTTTGTTGAGATACCGCTGCGTTGGCCAAGAAGGACTTTGACTGTATTCAGATACTCGTCTGTGTCAGGGACCACACTATCAGAATGTGTATCTAAAAATCTGTTTCAAAATACTTCACGAAAGCGATTAAAATGAGCACTAATCAAGGAGACTGTTCTGCATCCACGCCACGGCAAACATGGAGTGTGTATCGCTGGAAACCAGAGTGGTTAAACAAGAGGTGCTCTCTTTTTCTGGGTCTTTCACCTGTTGCTCGCACAGACTGTAGTAAAATATGGATTCTTTAGAATGGCCATTAGGGGGCGACTCTCGTGGAGAACACGCCCTGGGCTCCATGTCTCTGTAACCTCAGTAGACATTTTTCTGAAGAGTTTATGGGCTCAGTCGTTAGTTTTAGCTCACACTGAATGAAACAGGAAGTTCATTTTGTAAATGATTTTATAGTCACAAAGGAGGATTAGCCAGGATAAGCTGACTGTCCCTCGGTTTCCTCGCTCATCACGTCCAGTTTCAGGCAAAAATGATTAGCTAGGGTCTTCACTGTCCATGGGTGGTGTTATCTTGACTAGCTCCACCTTTCATACTGTGGTTATGTTGTTGCTAGGCACTGTCATCGAGGGCAAAGGTATGATGGCAAGGTCACATTTTAGATATTATAAGCAAACCTGGAAGCACTAAAAAAACAACAACAACAAAAGCTGCAATTCCTGTAGTGGCCACTGGAGGCTGAGGCTAAGTTAATCCCCACTGACTGCCATGGTAAGACACCCAACTTAATACAATTACAAAGTGTATTTAAAGCCTGGTATCTACAGTTCCTCATTCATAAAAACCACATAGGGGCACAGACTTGTTCTATAACTCATCACGGCTAATGCCAAACTCAACATCTTAGCGTATTAGTCCAAATACAGTCATCTCATGGGGTCTTGTTTGATTGCGACCTCGCAGATGATGCGGCCCCTTTCAGCTAGAAAATCTAACTAAACAGCCAGTAAGCGCGACATCCACATGCTTGTAACAACAGGAAGTGCGATCTTTTTGTGTCCATCTGAAGGAGCCAAACATGTATTTGCTACCACTTCCAGTCTGAGCGATGCTAACTGATGCTTCATATTCAGCTGACATGCTTTTCTTGCAAGAAAGCGAATAATCACATTTCCAAAAACGTCACTGCTAAATGACAATCTGGTTTTTGTTTTCACTCTGTAACATGCACACACATCCACAAAAAAAATAAAAAAAATAAAAAAAATAAAGTTTTGTTTCTGTACAGAAGGTTTTGCTGTAGAAAGGCAACACTGTTGAATGCAGGTTCAAGAACAAAGTCAGCTGCTCTGTGAGCCACAGCTAAAACAGAACGAGGGATTGCAAACGATGTTCAGCATGCTTCGCTCCCTGCCTGACTCGCTTGTCCTCTTTCAGAATCAGGCATAGAGGACATGCTGGTGGCAGATTTAAAAGGATCAGCGGGACTAACACTCCTCCCAACCTCACAGTGAAGATTATATTCAAAGTGCTATTTACATACACGTATATATGTATGTGTGTGTGTATGTGTGTGTGTGTGTGTGTGTTAATTTTGTCAAAAAATAACCACTCTATTTAATAAATTAAAAGTAACAAAAAGCAATATATTGTCTCAAGGTAATAACATGATTCTTTAATGATTAAAAATAGAATTTAAGGAATATAAAATACACAGCTTTGCAAACAAAACAAAGCAAAAAGAAATTAAGAGTTTCTCAACCTTCTCTGGTCCTGGTTTTTAAGTCCCGAAGTTTTCATAATCCAGGGTCGTTCTGCACATTTTAGTCCATTTAGTGCTTTTTTGGTTAATTTCCATGTTGGCTGTTATCTATCAGTCATTTGATTCTCCTCTAAATGGTCCTGGAAGGCTGAGGAACTTTGCCCAAAGCAAAAAAGCAATAACACTGCATTTACATACATAGACCTTTAAGATTCAAGATGCTTAACGATCTTGTTAGACCATATATAAACAGAGTGACCCTCCCGTGTCCAACAACTGCCCACCCACACTCTTGACACTCACGTGGGGGTGTATTGCTGTTAAAGTGCGTTAAGTCTCCCCTGGGACTCCCCTCAGACCAGGCTGAAGCCCTCGTACTGCTCCACGGCTTGAGTGAGGCGGCGGCGCAGGATCTCTTTGGTCTGGTAGCGGGGCATGTCCAGCAGGTTGTAGCATGTGTGGGCCACGGGCAGGTAGTGCTCCTCTGCTGTGGTAGACTGGATGATGATGCGCAGGCTCTCCATGCCGTGGATGGGAATGCGGTCACTACCGGTCAGGAACACTGCAGGCAGAAAGGGGACATACAGAACAGAGGTAAAACAAAATTAGGGAAGCTCTCTGAAACATGTTTGTGCTCTTGTGCAGACACAAGCTTGATGTTTCTGGATGTTATTAATAAATCTGGTCTTTGCCTGTCTAGACAATTTTTGACTCGCAGAGAATATTGCTCCGATTTTCCTATTTTGGCTAAAAGTCATTCTTGGTTGCAATGAAAGCAACATGCATGTTTTTTTACACTGCAAAGAAATGCTTGTTTAACAGAGAAACCTGCCCACAGAACTCTTTGGGCTTTAAATACACTTTAAATAAATGTGTAAAATTACAGAACAGAAAAAAAGAAAGAAAAAGAAAAAAATTGCATTATTCTCATTATTAAGATTGAAAAACCTGAAATTCTGCATTCAGAGACTCATTAAAAGTGGCTGCAGCGAACGACCCATAAGTTCAAATGTTAGGTTTGTGGTTAGCTGGCCTGAATGGACCCTTCAGAGTGCCAGTTCTGCCCCCCGGGCCAAATGTTTGACACCTCTGATCTAGGAGCAAGAATCACAGGGTGATTTTAACAGGACATCGTCATGCCACACTTCCCACAACAGCAGCGGTATCACTATGCTCGACATTATTTAATCATATCATTTACTATTACTAAAGAATTCAGCATAATTGAGGTCTTGTAAAGTAAACAGTTGAATCTGAATGAAACACTTTATTCAAAACTCCTGAAATGTGTGATTATTTTCATTAACACTGAAAAGTTCTCGCTTTCGTTAAAGCAGCACGAGGCAGCTCTGCTGTCTTCACGATCTGCTCTCATGACCTGCAAATTATTACACTGCAAAGCGACTGCGGGTAAGAGAATTAAACTGCCACGCAGATCATTTAAGGAGGCAATTAAAGGCTTACACAAGAACTGCTTCTTCTTTTCCAGAGGGAACTCGTGGAAAACCTCCCAGAACAATCTGACTGTTGGATGAGTGGCGGTGTACTCCCCCTTATAAACGGCGTTCTGTAGAAAGAGAGGAGAGATTTGGAGATTAAAAGCCTGTTTTACCATCAGTAAACAATTTGATTTGTGGAACATGTTAGTTCCTTATCAGTCAGGAAACAAAGTCCTCAGAGACGTGCAACAATCTGGGTGATTTTTGCAACTACTGGCCTAAAAAACAAAAACAAATCAGTTTCCCAGTTTTTTGACATCTGACAAAACAATCTGCTGTGCAGATGTTGTAATCTGCACAAAAAGGACCTCTGGACACAGGAGATAAAGTCACGGGTAAAATATGTGAAGAACTGTTTTGGCTCATACCGTTTATGATCACATCCAGAGCTGCAAAGTAAGCCAAATGTCACAACAACCCACAAGAGCGGAGTTTCTAAATCATTTATTCGCCTCCATATTAAATGATCCAGAGGTGTGCCTTTTCAACATCTGGCAGGAATAACACGAAACACACGAGAACGAGCCTTTCAGAAAAGATCAGATTTATCTACAGTTTTCTTCACCATCCAATCTAAATTTTAACTTACCTACTATGATGATTTGTGAATATATATTTAGAATATTTCTGACAACATAATACACGTTTTAGTATTTTGCAACTAAAGGTACAATATGTAAGATTGGTAAACCACAAACAGCTGAAACATTAAAAAGTAAACTAAATCTATGAATTATTTATTATCATTACACATGTGCAATGAATTTTGATGCAGTCTTATCAGTGCAAACATTTGAAAATAATATGTATATAAAGTAAATATATGTACACAAGTAAAAACCCATCATCCCAATCAATCCTTCACACTCTATGGGCATTCATTGCAGTTGATTCTCTTAAAAACTGCACATTACTACAAGTGTATTTATGAGTTTTGGATAAAAAAAATTCTTTGGTTCATGTTTTTAATGTCCTGAAACATCTGCCCTTGCGCTGACATTCAAACAGAAAGTGGTGCAGGGGGGATGGATGTTTCAGGACACTCTCAAATGACCGTATGACACTGGAATAGCACACTACAGAAATATCTCCTGAAGTTTGATTTCTAACTTGCTAATACTGCGTCAAACTCAATTTTTTTTGTCGCTTTAGCATTGCAGAATTTATACTTATTGTTCCATTTTTTCTTTTGCATCCAGAAAAAAGACAATCGCAACAACCAAACGTGGTTCGCCGGTATCTGTGTCTTACACCAGTGAAAGAGCCTTTTCTTTCCTGCTTCTTACTAAAGACGTAAACACCTATAATTAATCTTTCAGGTACAATGTAGCACCGCCTGAGGTGATGGTTTGAGGTAATGTTTGAGGGTGTCTCTCACTACCGTTCTAATCTAAGATGCTAAAGCTAAACATCTATCATTCACTGAGGTTGGTATGTAGAGCCGCAGGCATGGCTGCAGTGGTTATTCTGAGCGAGGCAGTTCCCTGGTTATATAAACACAATGCTAAAAACTACATCATTCTTTCCTGCGGTCGATGACAAGGACTTTAGGTTTTGTTTTTTTTTTAAATGCAACATCTGAACAAATCTTTCACATATAAACTATTGGTCTGCAAACACTTGTGCTGCAGGGGATTCAAGATTTTAATCCAACAATGACAACAACAAAAAAAGAAAAACACACACAGTGAGGAGAGGCTTTGCTGACCCTGAGCTGGAAAGTTGATCAGAGCAGTCGGAGTACATGTGCAGATGATTAAACCACACACTGACCTTCTCCATCTCCTCCCAGTTGTAGTTATTATTGCCGACCACCATGGCCATCAGCTCGGAGGGCTGGAACAGAGACAGGATCTCACCACCACACACCTTCAGGAAACCAGCGGAGAAGGCAGAGTACTGCTCCCCCACCGAGTCTGAGAACACGTAGCGCAGGTAGGCCTCCACAAACTCCTTCCTGAAACACGCACACACACACACACACGCACACGCACGCACACACACGCGCACACGCACGCACACACACACACACACACACACACAAATAGGTTCAGTAAACATGCAGAAAATGAGCACATTTATTCAGATGTCAAAGTGGGACTATAAACACTCTCTTCCTCTCTCTTTGTGTCTGAATCCGAGTGTGTTCACATTGTCTGAGCCGTCTGTTCAAAGCTTTTTTTTGGTTTGTTTCTTGAAACCTGCTTGGAACTCATCAACGTCCTCTTCATCCAGCCCGCTCTAATTTTGTTTACACCTCTGTGAGGTCTTAGCGCAGAAGTTGCTTAGGTAGATTAAACCTCTAATCTCTTCATCTGTGCTGGAGCCACCTGTGAGTGCGTCAATATATGTGTAAATACTAAAACAGATTTGTTTTCACTGTGCCAAGCTAAACTACAGAAGCAGGACACGAAATGCTGAATAAATCCCCTGAAAGACTTATATTTAAACAGAGTTCCTAACATTAATCTATTTTAAGACCTCTGAAATGAATGCTTAAAAGTAAAATTACTGTACTGAAGGAGAGGAATGTGCAGCTTCAACATTATTTTTAAATTTGGGAAACCAATGGAAAGCTTTAGTTTGGGCTGAGCAACTACTGCAGTCAGTCAGTGATAGACATCCATGCATTTATAAAACATGTCAAAGACAAAAGGGAGAAGAAAGCAGAACATATTTGTCACTTTCCATCACTAGTCAAAGTCAGACTTAAGTCTGATTGAGATGCTTTGTCGTGTCCTTTGAACAGGCCGTTCAGAAACCCTCCAGTGTGGCTGAATTAAAACAGTTCTGCAAAGAGGAGTGGGACAAAATCCCTCCACAGTGATGTGAAACACTCACTGCCAGTAATTACAAACACTTGATTGCACAAGCATTAATAACTATTAACTGGTAACACAACTAGTTATTGGTTTTAGGGAGCAATTAGGTTTTAAGAACTTTTCTTTCCCCGTAATAAATACATTTTATATTCACTCAGGTTATCTCTGTCTAAGACATGTACTCAGCTACAACAACAGGAAACCCCAAGCCAACCACACACAGTGCATAACAGCATCTTAATAGATTCAAAATAACAGGTTAAAAATCCCAAAGTGAATCAGATGTCGGGGATTCAGAAGAAACCAGTTACTTTAACTCAAATGTTCAGGAACGCGCAATCCTCGAGCAATCACTCCAAGAAAGAAGAAAAAGAGAGAAACCAGATTTTTAAAACCTTTTCCCTGATCACACACACAGAAAGTAATGATGTCGTTTCATTTAGAAAGCGAGGACTCTGTGTAGCAGCTGCTGCCACAAACCCCCGTTCAAACAGGGAAGGTACCAACAGAAGGACCAACATGCTCCAACAGTTGGTCAGAAGGTTCCTTTGTAAGTGCGCATGCGCCATTAGCGTGCTGCCTGCTGTAACCCTAATTTCCCTCGGGATTAATAAAGTATTCTGATTCTGATTGATTCTGATTCTCCTGAAATTTGAGAGAAATACACAAGCAGGTCTTCTCATATAGGAAACCAGCGCATAGACACGCACACAACTGCTTCACGTCAACAAGCTAATAAATACAGGCTTCAGACCAATGCTACAGTCTTCCCAGCCAAGCAAGTCACACCCACAGGGGTCACAAAGCCCTGCAAACACCAAACTTGTCTTACACAACGCAAAACGAAACAAAAACAAAGGCAGGATTCATCAGTCTGATAAAGTAACCTTCAGTATCAAAATAAAACGTGCGGTATGAGATGCTGCTTTAATACCACAATCTAATATTCCTCTTGTTCTAGTTCCATATCTGAGTGTCGAAGGGATTTTGGAGAAACAATTTGTGTTACTGCTGCTCTCGCCATCTGTTCAGCACCAGCAGCCAGACATGTTGACACCGCCCGCCCCCAAACGCTCTCTCTCTGAGGACTCCTTCACATAACGCTGTAATCAGTGCCACTGGCACAAGGACAGCAGCTAGAAATGAGGCGCAATAGCACGGTGTGAGTGAATCTAAAAAACTGTGTCTGTGTGTGCAGCACAGATCGTGGCCTTCAGCTCCAACAATGGGACACAAGCTGCTGGCTCTATGAGCGCATTATAATCTCTGTGCGGGGAAAAAAAAAAGTAAAATCTCACAGTCTTTGCTTCTTCCTTCAGAGAGGACAGAGCGTGTAGCATTTAAAAAAATGGAAACGTTCATGAAATTAAATCTAATCTGGTAAACGGGCTGGTTCTTATATAGAGCTCTTCTACTCTGAGAACTCAAAGAGCTTTTTATAAAGCTTCACTCATTCACACCAGCACTTTTTTCTATGCTTTTCCTATCCAGGTGCTTTCTATCCAGCATTGACACACATTCACATTCCCATGGATGCATGGGAGAGCAACTTGGGGTTAGTATCTTGCCCAAGTATATTTGACCGGAGCAGACGGGGATTGAACCACCAACCTTCCGATTAGTAGGTGACCTGCTCTGCCTCCTGAAATACCGACTGAAACGTGCTGAAAAGTCAGCTTAAATTTTCAGTGTGCGTTTTTTTGATTTGTCGAGTCACCAAACCTGTTGTTTTTGTCCACAGCGACGCTCTCTCCTCCGGGAATCAGCTCCTTGACTTCTGTCATCCCGTAGTTCTCCCTGGTGATCTAAGACATGAGCACAACAAACAGACTCACTGTGGAGTTTTTTTACGTTGCAAAAGTGCACAAG